CTGTTAATAGTAAAGTGCGAAAAGCGACAAGGCAGTACTAGTTAAGCACTTTTGTGTTACGCAACTGCAGCAATAACCTATCCATAAAAACACCATCTTTTAACGAAACTAAGTAGTTATTACCCATACAAGTGCAGATGCTAACCACAGGGAGTAAGCTAATGATGGCACCGAATTTCGCTTTTTTAGTCGGCTTTGGAGCGGGTGTTGTCAGTAGATCAGTTGTCCGGGCAAAGTCGCTGTCTACAGGAGCAGAACGCAGTGGGAGTGGAAAAGGCGTTGCAAGACTGCGAGAAGCGCCTTCGCGATGAGTACGAGACGAAGCTGGAGAAGAACTACCGTCTGATTGATGAGCTTATTGCGGAGAAAAAGGCGCTTACAGAACAGTGTGACAAATTGGTTGCTGACATGCGCCAAATCTCCGAAAAGGCGCTAGCCAAACAAAAGCTTATGGAAGAGAAGTACATTTTGTTTTCTTTCCAGAGGCAAAGACTATTTATTAACCGTAAGCGCATCGCTTTTGACAAAAAACCATCACATTTGAATGTTAGAAATAGAAGAAAACGAGTCTAAGTGAACCTCATCTTAGCAGTCAGCGATGCTTTTGATACGGGTTGCATTCATGTAGACTGGAGACACAATGCATTGAATGCGACAAACATATCAGTGATATTTCAGGTTGTTCACCTACCACCTTAACTCAAAACAGTATGAGTGGCTGCGATGGGTTACCTTCACCTCTTGACTCCACAGTTTAGTCACTGCATTCAGTCCCCAAAACTGGGATTGTCTAAAAACTTTGATTTGATGCTAATTGTTGGTGGAGTGGATAAAAGCACAACTTCGTTTACCCTCTTATAGCCACAAAGTCGAGCTGAAAAAAGCGGAGGCTAAGGCGGCTGCGGCAGAAAAGATAAAGCGAGAGAGGTGGGAGGCGGCGAAAACAAAGTCTATTAAGGTGAGCAAGTCCATTGCGATGCGCCATTGACCCATGAACACGCACCAACCACGCCTATCGGTGCTTGAACTCCGACCATTACAAGGAGCAGGAGTAATTAACTTCAAGTATTTATTTTATGTGTTTTTCGGAGATTTCGTCAAGACTTACGAACATAAAGTGTAGGCACTGAGACAATTATTTATTCCATCCTTTCGTTTGCTTGAGGAATTTGAACATTTGACACTCACGCATCTAGTGGAAGGCGCGATCCTACGCGTGTTGAACCAACTCATGGGTGAGGAACTCGA